TCACCAGGAAGATTATCATGAGCCTGAAATCGGATACGAAGTTCACGCTCAATTTCTGACAACATCGAATATGATTCATCTGGCACATCCTTGCCAAAATTAATCACTTCATCAGATCGATTTTTTGCTTGCTCTAAAATAAAAAAATTAATTAGATGAACTAGAAAAAACATATTTTTAATTAACATTGAAATTTAAAAACGAGAAGATTAATTTGATTTATCAAATTCTGTTCAATTAGTTACCTGGTTTATAGGAATTGTTCTCAGTAGCGCAAGCATAATCGTCCTCATCCGAAGACCAAACATCACCATAAATACATTGTTCATCCAATGGGAAGTCTATTTGAGCCAAAATATTATCATCATTATGGCTTTTTAATTTTTCTCGATCAGTATATGATATCGATGAAAGACGTTTAAAACGTTGTCTTTCTCGTGACGCTGAGCTTACTTTGAATTTGATTTGGCCAACCTTTAATTTATTCATTTGCTATTTGATTCGATAATTTTTTAAGAAGGTGATATAATTAATTCCTTCTGTTATATCGCCAAATGATTCTAAATATATCGAATGAATCTCATTGATTCCAAAAAACTGAATCCATTACTTAAGCCATTTAATTCTATAAATCTAGAAAACTTAGGAGAAAGTAAAACTTATTGTTAGAAGTCAGATCAGAAAGAATTAGAGATTAGTTCAATTACTACCGAAGAATATTCATTACAAACAAGAAATTACGCTTTGAAATGGTATATGATAGCATAAAGCTATTTATATCCTAATAGTAACGGAGCGAGAAATATGCGCATTTTATTATTTCGAACAAAATTATAAAGGATAGAAAGTTAGAAGTAACTGAGGCAAGAATTGAGGTAGTTTTGGTGCATATTTTTCAAAAATATTTTTTTCTGATCTAATTCAAAATGTAACATTTCAGTAAATAACAACAATTAACAAATTCAAAGGACAGAAAGATAAACGGAAGATTCTCGTTGGGGAAGACATATCCAATAAGAGGAAATTTAAAATGCATGCGTCAAACATGTGTTAATGTCTCGCCATAGGCGGAGAAATAGATATGAATTAGCGTGAAAATATCTGAATTATCCTATGCTTTAAGAAGAAAAATTAACTTTTAGTTTATTTAGAAGCAAATTATTAAGGAACAAAGTAAAGAATAATACATTTAGTTGAATGCTATTCCTGAATTTCATTGCCAAAAATAAAAAATAATTATTTCAAAACCTTTTTCGTGATATTTAATTGAATATCGGATTTAATTCGCAGCAATTTATCGAATTCCAAAGCACTTCTTGGCCTTCTCATCGCAATTGCTTTTTCATTTATCTTCATATTACTCTAAAAAAGTGGTTTTCAATAATTTTGAAAAAAACTTGTGAGGGGTTAATCCATAACGATTACGCATATTTAGAAACTTATAAGATTATAAAATAATGATATAACTGATTTCCTTCATTTTTCTATGTGCATAATAAGTTCGAAAACTTTAAATAGAATTTTAAGTAATCAATGAAATAGAGTAAACAAAATGAATAAATAAGTAGATTAAATGAAGATGTGAAGTAAAAAACTGAAAATCACTGCAAACAAATTGTTGAAATAATTGAATCTATTGATTGATAAAGTGACCGAATTAATTAATTGTTCAAAATTACTTCTTTGTTATTCAAGTAATATTTCTCCTCATCTGACACTCGCGACGTTGCTCCAAAATGATTGCTACTCGAATAGCCATTAATACTATCATTTAATTTGTTTCCTTGTTCATCAAAATGACATTCATCCTGTCTACTATAAAATTTATCAGTATTAATTAATGCTGTCGGCAATGTTTATATTTGCGATGATTGATATTTTCAGATATTCAGAAAAACTGATTCATTGAAAAGGGAGAATTTCGAGTAGGTTTTTGAAACATAAAAAGCTATCTAATCAATTTAATGATCTCAGACAGAAAAATCCAGAGATATAGACATTTACAGGTATATCGTAATGATATCTGCAGCATCTGAATTCTGCAACTCCTTTAGAAGTTTTCTTTTTGTCTTTTTTAAATCATATTACCAATCAAAGAACATATAGAATGGTTCATTTGACATGATATTCTGGCATCATTTTATTGCCAAAGTAAACTTATATGGCTAATTTGAAGGTAAAACTTCTTGTAAAAAAGTAATGTTCATTTTTCAGTTTCTCAATACTTCCTAACAAATTGCTCTTCTTTCCACGACATTTGGCTTATCGATTATTAGTATCTTCTTAATTCTCGATATCGAAAATTACTGTACCAAAGATCTACTTCTTTTGATAAAATTTTTTTTAGACTTTGTCAGTAAATATACATTTTCTCAGCTCTATTTAAAAGGCGCTAATGTGCTTATCTAAGGAAGTTCGAGTCACATAATATTTTAATGCTCGTTTTTTAGATAGTCCATAAGGTATATGACACAATACATATATATACTCATGTAATGCGAAAAGCTCATCCATTGCAGACCTTTTGTCACAATTTCCTTCCTGAACTGAGACCCCATTGATCTGCTCATTAAGCACATTCGTTTTATCAATTTCGCCATTCTCCTGAAAAGTAGGATGAATGCTTCAGTATTAATTGATATGAAAATGTTCTCGAGATCCAAAATAATTTAAGTAGTTCACCTCAATATAGGTTAACTGTTCAATTTCTTCATACATCTCGTCGTTAACAGAATCCTGAGGTGAGAGTACCGGTGGCGACGGCGGTGGTATTGATGGCACACTAAAATAATTTATGCAGTTAATTAATTATTGCTGAGATAATCGGCAAACCTAGCGAAATGTTTGCTATATAATTTCACTAGCAAACATTGAGCACGATATGACATTTCAGTGCAACATTAAAAAAAATTTTTTTTGAATTTTGTAAAATTCCAAAAAAATGAGAAACTCAAAAAAACCGTTAGCGCTACAAAACTGAAAACGAACATATTTATTTTGAATGTTCGAGTTACTGGCTAAAAGGATGAAAGTTTAAAGTTAACCTCCTGACATAACCACCTTACTTGGGTATATGCCACCTGTCCAGATATCGTTCAAATCGGTGAGCTTTTGATGGTTCAGTCTTGTCACTATCCATTTTGTCCTGCGCTGCATTTTCGTTAGTGTCAAAAACACTTTCCAAATTTAATTTTTTGCTAACTGTCTCAATTTTATTGCTATCTTTCGCAAGTTGAGAAGGACGTTGAGGAGATTGAATAGGTGGTGGCGGTGGCTTTATTTTAGGTTTCTTGATTTCTTCGTTAATAAAATTTATTCGTTTATTAGTAATTTCAGTCCTACTATTTGACCTCTCGGCAGATTCCAAAGTAGACGATCCACTTTCAACTCCCTTAAGTTCTTCAATACATAAATCAGTTATTCGTATTGCTTCAAACGATGGATCAGAACCGGTTACGGTATCTTCCGAAGTACACATCACTTTCGCTTTATGATTGTTTCTTTCTTTGTTTATTGCTCTTTCGGGTGAATCGATTGTATTAGAAAGAGTTTTTGGCAAATTTCCTTCAACTACTGAAACTTCAAGTCTCGAGGATTGTGGAAAGGAGCTTTGGGTACTTCTACAGGAAATTTTGTTCTTAAGTGTTGCAGGTTTAACAGGTGGAGGAGGCTTTGGACGATTTCTACGTGCTCGCTCTTGCTCAATCAGGTATGAACCAGAACTACCAGCGTACATCGACTGAACAAACATGGACCTATCGGAAGTATCATTGTGGTTAATGCTTTCGGAGATCATCGGTGTCGTAAGGGCTACCGCGGTGTTTGCGTTACTCATCATTGACCTTCCTGATATATCGCGCCTAAAAAATCAAATTTGAACAATGCGCGCAGTAAAGCATGCAAATAATAGAATTTTCTAAACTCCAACATTATAAAAAATGTATATTAAAAAGTTGAAATTGTTCAGAAATGTTTCTTCCAATGAAATTAATCAGATAATTTATAATAAAAATTAAAAACTTCTCTTGAAGAATCAGAACTAAAGATAGAGAGTGATAAGCGAAATTTGCAAAATGCGATAATGGGAAAATAACAAAAGGATAATTTTGTTAGTATTAACTAAAATCAGTGGCTGGAATGAATTACTTTTAATTTTAGCGCTTGACAATTGCTCTTATGATATTATACATGTATATAAA